TTTTTTTTCATTTTTCAACTTTAAAAAATGCATATCTTTTGTTTTTCTATCTGTTAATCCATTAAGTTTGTTGAAATATATAATTTTACTCTTTAAATGTACAATATATGTAAATTTTTAATTTCTAAACTTTTAAGTTTAGAGATATATGGATAGATATATTTAATGGATTAATTAATGAAATAATAAAAAAATATATTTTTCATAGTTTATGAGTTAAAAAAGTGAAAAAATAAATTATGAACTTAAAAATATTCAAAAAATTTAAAATACCAATTTGGTCTCTCAACTTTTAGATTTGTATTAAAATAATCTTTAAACTTTAAAAAATATCAAAATGATCCTTAAACTTTAATTTTGATACCAAAATAATCCTTTTATTAATAGAAGCATCACGTGACTCATTATTTTACTACAGAATCAATTCTTTCTTAAAATATTAAAAATAATCATTTTTTGCTGTTGTAACGCATTTCTATTTACACATCAAAATTAACATAGTCTATGAACTTTAAAGATAAATACTACTTTAGTCCTTGAACTTTGATTATAGGTATCAATTTGGTCCTTCAACTTTGATATCATGATGGAGAAATATGGTTATTTGATTTTATAAGTTATTAATATTTTAAAAAATAACTATTTTTGTGGTAAAATGATGAGTTACATGACATTTTCGTCATCGAAAGGCTTATTTTGGTATTGAAAATTAAAGTTTATGAACAATTTTAGTTTTTTTTTTTTTTGAAATTTAAAAATAATTTTAGTACAAATCTAAAAATTAAGAGACTAAATTAGTATTTTAACCTATTTAAAATTAAAAATCTAGGGATTAAAATTGATATTTAATTTTTTTTTCCTCAAGTTGGGCATCTTTTTTAAATAATTCCCACATTACTAGATAACTATTGTTACTAAAAAGAAAATGTCAAGTAAGTAATTTTTTTTTATTAAATAGTATTTTAAAATATTAATTATTTTATTAATTATTTATTAATAATTATAGTTATTTACTATTTTTATTAAATAAAATTAATACTTTTAAAGATAATAATTTATGATATTTAGTAAGATTTTTTTTGAAAAAAAAAATATTATTAAATTAATATCTATTCAAAAAAATTAAATCCAAATTCAACTTACAGATCAAAATATATTTCACCTACTGCAACTGAGAAATGCTACGATATTGTGCTAACCTACCTCGGTACTATATTAATTGTTTGTTTGGCGATAGCGATTATTGTTTCTGATAAGATACACGTCGGTTCTCTGACATGGAATAAAAATGAAAAAACTTATCTAGCATCAAATTGACCAAATCCCAACCTAACCTAACCATGTTGACATTGTCGTTACAACAGGCTTTGGTAGACTTCTCATGACAAGTATATATCTATGCAGACACGCAACAAGCCTCCTTGCATCTTTGCTCTTGAATTGGATTATTTCGTAGCAAACTTAAGCAACATGAGTTCATTTCAAGAGAAACGAGAATTATCAG